CATGCTTTGTTTTACACTTCGCTATGGATCACCTGTTGGAGGGTGCTCTCGAAAATTTCGGCCTAATGGCGTCCATTTACTTCCGGATGACAGGCTCCGTGACTTGGAGTATGCCGACCACATCACCGTAAACTGTGTATCTTTGCAAGCTGCTTGGGAGACAGTGCACAGAGTGGTGATGCATGGCACACAGTTCCGAATGAGCTTGACTCTTCCAAGTTCAACGCTTTCTTACAGGACTGCTTAGAAGCTGATTTACCCTCACTCTATTGGGCTTTTCGGTGGAGATGGTAGAAAAGTTAAATAAATAAATAAATAAATTTGTATATTTACCGACAAACGGTACATGGCCCCAGAAGCGGGAGCGATCATTTGTTTAGTGAATAGGTTTCATGCTTTATGCGACGTAAATCATAACAGTAAAAGAAATATAAATAATAGAATTTCAGATCGTGCCTTTTCTCCTTTCAGTCCTAGACCTGAGCACTTGATATGTAAAATTTACCGATATTTGTATCCTCATTTTCCAGTTAGTGTGGCTCAGGAGTCGATAATAGAAGGGTAGAGACACTAGGTTGCACAGAAAGAGGATTTCCTATTATAGGTAATGACATATAGTGGGTAAGCTAGTTGTAAACAAATATCCGCTCATATGTTTTTATACCAGCTTCTGTCAATGTTTCTAGCGTTTGCTGTGAGTCAAAGTTTTTCAACACATTCGATATAGTGAGGAACGTCTGTATGGAATTTTGAAATGTGACTTCGCTTGCACTCATGCGTATCTGTAGGGGTAGTTTGTTCCACAGCTCAGTGTATCTCACTAAGGAGAAATTCAATCGAGTTCTACGACTTGCACGCTTTGTGAGTAGCAGGTAGCCGCCATTACGTGTGGGGTAGACTGCAGTCTTTAGTAGTCCAAGTGCGGTGCTGTCTACGTAAATTCGTTGGTTTAGAATAATGTAGAAGAGAAGGAGATTGTTCATTAAGTGTCTCAGCCAAAGAGGATCCAGATGGGGTTTTCGACAGCCAACATAATAACTCAGGTTTAAGCAGCGTCCCATGACCAGCTTGGTAAATGATCGTCGGACATTTTTCAGAGCCATTCTGTCTTTCTTTCTCAATTGGCTGGGAGCGATAGTACAGTAGGCATACTGTACTATCTTACTATGGTCTTGAAGGACTCAAGTCGAGTTTCTTGTAGGGAGAAAATTATGACGATATATCCGCGTAGCTGCCTTGCTTTTGCAACCTGATAAATCACATGTTCGGAGCAATTGAAAGAGTTAGTGTACCTAACTCCTAAGTCCCGAACCGAGTCAGACGTTGGGATCACGTTTCTGGAAAGTGTGATAGAGCCTTCTGGAATGCGGCATCTGTACTTGGGATTTCACTGCGGAGAACTTCATTAATAAAAGTTCACTAGCTATATTTAGTGCGGACAGGTATTAAAAGATGCTTCCCAGGCACATTTGTAGTTGGTCTGGATGAAATGAGTAGACCAGTTTGACGTCATCTGCAAACAGAAATGGGTGTCCATGTTTGATCGGGTCGCATATGTGGCTTATGTAGATCAGGAAAAGTAGTGGTCCGAGCACACTCTCCTGGAAGACGCCGCTGGTTATTTGTTTCGGTGTAGAATATTGCTGACCGATTTTATCTACCTGCGTTCGACCGTTTAGGTTGAGTTGATCCAGTTTAGCAGGGCATTTCCAATTCCATATGACTCTAGAGCGGACAGTAGTGGCTTGTGCGGCACGCGGTCGAACGCCTCTTGCATTTCCAACAGAAGTATAATGATTGCCATTCCTCTGACAATCATAGTCCTGACGTGATCGAGGAATGGTAGCTGGCAGGTAACGCAGGAGTGTTTTGAATGGAAGCCATGTTGTGAGGGATTGAGGTTGAGGGATTGAGTAGATCTAGTCTTGTAAAATTTTGAACGATGTTCTTCTTGACTATCCTTTGGAAGCAGGTTTGGAAGCAGCATTGGGCGGTAGCTTTACACTTTATTTCTCGGGCCACCTATGTGCTTAGGCATTATAATGAATTGCCTCCATTGGGATGGAAAGCAGCCGGTAGTGAGAGAAATTGTGAAGATGTTTATTAACAGTAGAGAGAGGTTTTTTTCCTCCGAGTTTTATACCAGTTGGTGAGATGCCACCTGGGCCTGGACGAGTTGATGGTTTTATGGATGCGATGGCACTTTGCACTTATTTCAACGTCACAGGGCTATTAATGCATATCTCGGTCGTTCCTTTTGGAAGTGGAGAATGAAACGGCTGAGTGTTGGGGACAAAGCAGGAGACAAAACTAGAGTTCATAGCCTCGCACATGCAGGAGATGTCGCGGGTTATTGAACCATCGTCTAGAGCCAACTTTTCAAGTTCCTGATGGGGGTTAGGGTTCCTTCCTTTGAGTAATTGCGTCAATGTAGGTATTTGCTCCGGATTTATAAGTACCTGACTTTCTTCTTTGATTTTGGCCTTTTGGGTTAGATGTTGTAGCTGTAGCAGATTCTCGTGTATTTTAGCTATTTTGCTAAGCTGTTGCTCCTGCGATATAGTGATTTAAGTTTCTTTAGTTTGGTTGTGGCTTTTTACAGACGCTTGAGGTCCCCACTATGTTCATGGGTATTTCTCCCTACGATAGGTGCCAGTAGATCCACCCCAAGGGCAATACTGTTAGTAAACTCATTTGTAGCCACACTAAGGTTTTGAGTTAGGAATGACGTATTCCAATTCATGGTATTGATAAGTTCATTAAATGAGTTTCAGTCCATACCATGGAGGTTGCGAATGGGTGTTAGCGTTTTAATTGGTCGTTTAGGTGAATAAATGGTCATATCACAAAGCACCGTGTTGTGATCACAGCCAGGTAGTGGATTATCAATGAATACATAAGCGTAAGTGGTCCCCATCGTGAATGTAAGGTCTAAGGTAGTGGCAGTTTTAATTTGCTTTCTAACATGTTGGGTCCAACCATTGAGGTGAATACATGAGATGATTTCCTCAATCTTCGCAGTGTTTCTGAGTGTAGGCAGCATCCAGTTAACACGTAGTAGGTTGAAATCTCCACACATAATTTTGGATTTGTATAAGGTGCTGGAAGCAGCATTTATCATATCGATTGGCTTGTAGGTTTCAGATTAAGTGATTCGGGGCGGCCGATAGATACAACCCATTAAAAGATCAATAGATGGGATCACTAGCCATAAGGTATTTTCTAATCCATTGAACATAGGTTGATCTGCTGGAATTGCAGTTAGGTTATTTCGAAGATATATGGCACAGCCACCACCACGTTTGTGTGAGCGATCTTTGCGGAAAAGCTTATAGCCTAAGATGTTAAGCTGAGAATCACTAATTTCTGACGTGCACCAGGTTTCAGTGATAAAAGCAATATCGGGGGATCTCATAAACATAAGTGTTGAAAGTATATCTAATTTAGGTAAAAGAGAACGCATGTTAATGACAACAGAAATTGGAATACATGAGATGTGAGTTGCATTGGAGTAGTAGGATAAACGGAATAAATCAATTCGCTCTTCTCCGAAACCACAGTATTCTTTGCCGATGTTCAACATCTCTTGTTCTAGTGTTATCTCAACCTTACACTAAAGCGTAGAGTCTGCAACACTACGGTGAGGAGAATGCTTCAATATGGCTGCAATACTAGGCCTGTTCGCGTATGAGTTGTTCCCAGACCATTTCTGGTCGCCGCTGCCTCCTGTGCAACTATGCTGTTCGTGGCAGCAGAATATTTATAATGACAACGTTTGAAGTTGCATTATCAAGCTAGACAACTCATCCGATCCCTAAATAGTATAATGTCTTTGCAAGCGCTCCAGTAGCACGGACATATTTTCCGTATGCCTCCTCAACGGTTTCCCACTGCACTTTGTTTATTTGCACCGGCGTTGATTGAAAGCGACGGAAATGTGGCCAACACACAACTTACGTCCGGGGTGTCAAAGCGTTAATGTTGCAGTTATCTGAAATGGGTCCTTCTGACGCTGGGTTGAAAGTGCGAGAACAATGAGGACACTTGGTTGGAAACGTTACCAGATATGGCTTGGAACAGTCTCCAATGGCGAACATGCTGCGAGAATATTCCTAAACGATTGTCATGTTTCCTCCGCTATTGTTTTACCCGTGTGGTGAGGAACTTCTTCAATTTTGTATCGGTCAAAAGTTTAACGTATATATGCATTACATGCACAGATAATGTTTACACGTGATCCACTCATCTACCTTTGACCGACTGCCGATTAGCGAACTGAACGCCAAAATCCTTCTGCACGTTGACTTGTAACATTATGCTTGCAAACATATTTATTCAGTGTTGAGAGCAGCAACGCCCAAATATTTCCATATTCGTTATGTTTTCATTACATTTGCTACCATTTATAGAACTACCTTCGCTGAAAACTACGTTTTATTTCCTCCGACCACACCGTGTGGGACCTTGAGTTTACCAGCAAACATCTTTCCTTGACATTTTGTACGACATGTTTAGTTCAGTCTCGTGTAGTCACTACAAACATTATGTGCTGATGTTGTCGGACCGTGTTAGCAGGTGGCCAATAAGATTACAAGTCGGCCTTGTAATTCAGTGGTCAGGGGGTTCGAATCCACCTAGGTACCTGCTAACTCGGAATAGGATAGATTCACGCGCCACCAGTGGTGGTCGAGGGGAAGCGAAGTTTCCATATGGTGTTTCGGTTTACTACTGATTCCTTGATGACCAGACCTGCTAAATGGGTATTCCTAACTTCTGCAAAGAGATAGAGCTCAAAAAATAGTTGTGAGTTTTGATCTTTCAATTCGCAGCATTATAAGTCCCTCACAAGCTCGTTATTCTGAAGTGTAAATGTGACCAGGGCTCTGGTGGTTCTGCCCACGTTACGGTAAAACGCGAAACGCATTTGATTGAATCAGGTGAATGAATGATATTGTTGTAACGCAAACACGAAGAAGAACCGAGTATCTTAAACTACTCACTTTGGACTGCATGGCTCTGATATTTTGAATCGCGTTGACTGCCTTACTCTCTTGAAAATTTGATCTGTCGACAAAAATGCATGAATCCTATAAAGTTGAGAAAATATGAGACTTAATTAGCGCAATTGAAAGAATCGACGTGTTAGGAGTTGTACCCTCTAGAATATAGAATAAATACTGTCAGCAATCCTGCTGAGGGAAAATAAATGCAAAAAGATGTTGCTAACAGACAAGGTTTACAAGCTATTGACTAAATTACGCAGATTGAAGTGTGTGTCTAAAAAACAGTGCTGTTTGTCGTTAATCCGCCTGCTATCATTATATAGTAGAAATGGTGAAATGCGGAAAAGGACTTTAAAATCAGACATATTGTCGAATGCTGGGCTGCGCATATTCGCTGCACATACTTCAGTGATTTCGGCATGGAATTCGTATGACAGCTCAGTGTTGACATCGCCTTGCCCTCTTTACACGCAGAGACCGGCTGGGAGGGAAAGTAAATTGGTCAACGCGTGGGTGAAACACGAAGTATGAAGGCACGAAACGTAAAACTTTTTGTGGTAGGATGCAGTCGACTTATGGGTTTACGTACAAGAGCACTAACACCCCAGGTTAGAAACGCGCTCGAACATGCAATGAACTTGCCCTAAATGGCGGACATCTTGCGAGATATAATCTCCTGATTATAGTCTAATAAACTGTTCTCTCTCTCTCTCTATTCGTCTCATTCATTTTAACCTGCTGTGGCACTCTGTCAATACTCAGTATCGGTCAAGTGTTTAAATAGCCATGTTTCTACTTCTAGATATGAAGGAAATGAAGTGATATACAATACAAATCTCACTTCCAAAACCAGTAGTATATGTCTATTGATTACTACGTGCCAGAATTCAAAGGGGTGGGAACGAATAGATTGTGACTATCTAAATGAAGCTATCAAGATATTTCGTGGTAGCTGGACGTAAATTGTCTACCACATGTTGCGTTTACCAATACGTTAAAGAAGGCATGCATAGAATGCAAATTTACTCGTAAGCGCACCCGTAGACGAACCAGTAAAAATAGCAGCTGCATATGAATCAATACAATCGATACTTCCGTAGTAGGAGCAAACATGATTGCACATAAACATACTTAACATCTGGTTTAACAAAGCCCTTTCCCGCAACAACTGCTGCAGTGAGCAAAGTAAATTAGCAACAAACATAACCAGCCTTAAAGCATCAGGATTCTTGATCTGCAGCCTATAAATCTGTGTGCATTTAAAGATCTATCCGTATGTTGCCCAACTGCCGGGCAAATCCAACAGCTACTCCAGTGTATAATCCTACTCTTATCAGATAACGAATCTTTCCGCCGTATTTTCAATTCGTCAGCAGCAAATCAGTAACAGACAAAAGTATTCTAATAATTTTAAAGAATTATCCCGTATTTCGTTTGCAATTTGCTAACAACCATTCAACTAACACTAATAGTTCAAGCAACATCAAATCGGTGTAGATACTTTGTACCGATACCCCAATGCCTTATGGTGATAATTATCCTGACGGTGGAAGTAAACAAGGTGGGAAGAAGGGCCTGAATCAAAACCCAAGTTTCGTGCGAAAATATTAGGTTTCAAGAGGACCACTTAATACCAACAGCAGCTGGTCACAAACGGGTGGATATGGTGTGCTGGTAGGATGGCGTTAGCGTTACTATTTCCCTGCTGCTCTCATCGGGCCGTAAAATAATCTACTTGTAGCAGAAATATTTCTGCAGCGTACTACCTTTAGACAGATAATCTAGTCAGGAGACGAGTGCGTATTGATGTTGGTTGCGAACCACATCCCTTGACTATTCACGTCTGGTGTGCAATGGGACTCCTAGAGCCCATCTTGGGAGAAAAACTTGACCGACAACGTCTGACTTCCTGCTGTCTCAATCAAGACTGCTCTAACTTAGATCCATTAAATAACTAAACATTAACGTAGTTAAACAGTGGGCGAGAATGGGTGGCTCGTGTCCGCGTCAAATTAATTCCTTTATCTTGTTTTTTATTTATTCCCCTTTTTATTTTTCCTTTTTCTTTGTCAAGTTAAAGAGTTTAGCACTCGCGTGTGTGTGCTAGGTCGTTTTCAGATAGGAGAAATCACTTGCTTTGACTGAGAATTCGCGAGTACTAACAGCCAAAGATCCGATGGCAAGGGAAATCCAACGCGTCAAGTGGCGGTTGCGGAACAGAACAAGTAAGTGGGGGAAATGTAGATTCTGACGTTCATCCATGTTGCCTAGCTCATTGCACTGAGCATCCCATACAGCCGTTGTAAATCATACATAAATATCCTGGTCAACTGGTAGTTTTATAATAACTCACAAATCTAATCCCATCAAACACACACTATACATAGTTACTGGCTTTTAACTGTTCTAGGCGTAGAATTTCCTTTATTCTTGCAAACATAAGAATCAGATGAGGCGACAGTTGTACTGATGTAGTCACGTTATGCTTGCTTATTAGTCACAATCATGTAAGTAATTGTAGGGAGTAAAATGGCGTGAGCGTTCTACTTGTGGCCAACCAATGACCAATCAGTAACCGTCGCGCTAGCGCGCCAAACTTATAGATGAAGTCAGCTGTTTCTGCATGTGTAGGTGCGACAGTTTTGGACCCATAACCACGGCTTTCAATAGTCTGAAGGTGTGGAGCTTCTGCTTGTATGTAAGGACCGGAAATGACTTATCGGAGTTGGGTCGGTTGCAGATGCGCAACGAATGGGGACGCTCATTAGCATGCATCAAAACCGTAATGCAACACGTGGCGTCGTAAAGGATATTGACCTCCCGTATCTAAACGTTCTGATCACACGGCAATTGAACAGTTTGCTCGTGACGTCCACCCACCAAAAGTCGACCTGCCTAAAAACACCAGTTGCATTCTAAAATCTATTCCCGATACAGTATAAAGGTAGCTCTGTCCGGAAATTATTTTACCTAACTTATATGAGTTGAACCCCAGACATTATAAAAGCGGACCGAGGTATAATTTCGACAAAGTACAGGATAATAATATTTCATTAAAGTTCATGAAACGCTTGCAGTGATAGTCAAACAATAATGAGTGCTAAAGGTTAAAAAGAAGTCGATCATTAGTTAGCTGCGCTTCAAAGGTGACCACATCATGAGACTCACCAGGAAACAAATAAGGGCCTGCCTAAAAAGGGTACAGCCAGCAGAATTATATTTGTCCATGTAGACAAGATCCTTGTTTGTGTATTCGATTGAGACATCAACGACAAGCCTGTGCTTGTCTCATTGTTAATAAAAATTTACCTGTAGATATGGAGACGGTTATTTTTGGGGCATTGACCGAAGTTTACTTTTCAGAATCGAGGTGCACAATTAAAATGTTTACTTAGCCAAATGAGGTCTGTGCCTAGGGACTCGTGTGAAACAATGAGCCGAGCTGCCTCGGCAATAACAAGGCATTAGCTGAGCATCGACAACCTCGTCTACCCGAATAAGGCAATCGCTGTTCTACTGCATAGTCGTAACCTCAACACATCCTCAGGCTGATAAAAGACATAGTTATGGATCAAGAATTGTCTTACGTCTAGGTACAGAAACAGCTGCCGGTAACTATGAAGCTAGCCGGGTCGCGCAAATGGCACTGATTGGTGATTATTAGGCCATAAATTCAGCGCATCTACTTTTCCATCGTTACTCCTTATTGTTAGTTATATGGTTGTGATTTATATGCATACATGAAATTACATCCATTCCACGCCAGTGGAATTTATCACAACGTAACTTCCCTAACATTTAACTACGATCATCAATAGGTCTACTTGTAGCCATCTGTCGAGTTTATTCGATCTCTTGATAAGGCAACTAGAAAAAGTAACTTCGATTCCAAATTGGTGGTATCTTGATATAAAGTCGCTAAGTGAATAGCCTCATCTTAATCAAGTAACTCCAGCTGTCTATGATGTTATTGGGCTACAATTTAGTCACGCTTCTTGCTACGGATAATCAACGTGCCTGCAATGTGCACCGATTAAAGAATTAGTGTCAAAGGAAGTAGTGCGTTCTAACATAGAGATCCAGCTGTAACTAACAGTTTAGCATTTCTACTGAAGTATATTCACGAAACGACTAATGATTTAAAAGTCTGGGTAGAAACTAAGCTGGTTTTCGATGATTCATCATCAAGCCAAATAGGACACGCCCATATAGCTAGCATGAGATGGAATTGATGAAGTAACTGGATAACTAAGGCACCAAAATGACCATAAGGGTGCGGTCTGTTTATGCGGGAACTGCACGGTGGCGCCAAAACCTTCATGAATAGTTTTACTCAAAAAAGCGTGGGCTTCTAAAGATGAATCGCGATCGCCCATGTCAATCTAAGTATATGAGCTTCGAAGCGTTGGGAGCTGAAATCTCCCACACTGTGGACTGAAGCAAAGGTTCTATGGATAATAACGGAGTGGTTGGTTTGGACTAGGTGCGCAACCATTACGGTGGAGTATATCCTGTTAAATCCTCGAGTTAGCCACTCAGTGACGCTTGCATATGCAACTTACTAAACGTCTCGTAGATTGGCTTATATAATTTCTTTTACAGGAACCGTTAAATATGTACACACCGAAAGCGGTTACATCTACAGACAATTAACTCTTCAGCTTGGGAGGTAGGTAAATAGAAATGAAGAGATGATGTAAATGTGTTGAACTAAAGATGCTACCGATAGTCACTCAATCGTTTGCTAATCAGTTTGCAAAGGCTGCCCTTCTAGATGGCAACAGAATCTAAACTGTTTATTTCTCCACTAGAATTTACCTGGCAAGCCTACAGTCCTATCGCACACAGTTCTCAATGAACGCCTCTGGATAGGCTTTATTATGCAAAGCCTCCCTCATTGTGGGTTGTTTTGTTTCCTTGAAGAATATTTTAGTTGTTGTTTGTGTAAGACATCGGACTAGACGCTGATACTGTGAGTGCACTACGGAAAATATCAAAAACTGCGCTGATGATGTTTAAAAAGAATAGCTCACTGAAACATCGTTCTACACAAATACGTTAATAATCTGAATAAAAATGGTGTA